GGAAAGAGCTTGTGGTAGGAGGATGTCTTGCAGCATTGCATGATTGAGCTTTTGTTCCAGTGTCAGTCTGGTTGGGACTCCACCTGAAGAGCTGAACTCTGTTTTCTCCTGAATCACAATCCTTTTGTGATTTACTACCTTGCATTTTACGTTACCACACAGAGTCCTAAAATAATTGAAAATGTAATCAGCGTATGTTAGAGGCCCAGCACATTTCATCTTCTAGGAACTGACTGGAACTCTGGAGGTTGGTCTGCTTCCTGTCTCTTCCTGATCATCAAATTAATTCGCAAAATAATACATTCACTTTGCATTGTCAGAGTTCCTTTACTGTTTAAATAAGCATAAGGCACTAGGAAATGGCTTGTGCTGGCACTGGTTTTGTGCTATTCTGTTAATCTTCCTCTTTAATTGCTACTTCTAACAATTATATTTTCCTGTATTTACACCACAACTCCTAAATAAACTCAGGCCTGTTGGACCGGCCGTTAGAAGCCAGGAATCGGTTTTATCTAGGGAAGTTAGTCCTTGTAGCTGGTTGAGATGATTTCTCAGCAGGCAGTGTGTTTCTAGCTGGGTGACTTATGAGCTGTGCTATTTCTTATTACCTTCTGTTTGTTTTTCCAGGCTGCAGAGTCTTGGCTGTGGAACTGACATCCAGCAACACCAAGCCCGTGGTACAGGAATTCCAGAGTGAGTGCTGCAGGGGCCCTTGGCTGCCTGACGTGATGGGGATTTGCATCAGTACAAACAATTGAGAAAAATTTTGGTTGTTGCTGATGGTATCTGGTTTCTTGGGGGAGGCAGGACTACCGAAAGCCTGAGATTCAGAAAAGTGCTTAAGAATATGGCTGAATCTCTCCCTGTTTAGCAAAACACTTGATTGAAATGGTTTATTGAAGTCCTCTGCAAGCCATTGGCATTACAAAGTGTCTGCCTAAGTGCTTTTTTGAACTGGATCCCAAAAGGAGGAAAGGCAGTTGCCTTGCAATTAATATACTGAAAAGGGGGTCGGGAAATTTATGTTTTGTCTTGGCCCTACTTCAGGTGTGCAATGAGATACTGGGTAAGCCACCTCAACCCTGCTGCCATGCCTTCTTCTGTAGAGGAGGTGGAGATGACAATGCCTGCTTCAAAGGGGAGTGGGTTTGCTGAATTTATCCCCAGGCATCATGGTCCTCAGTACATTACCAGACACCACCCAGGGAGCTTCTGCATCCCTGACTCACTTTGTAGGCTCTGATTAGCAGCAAGACAGTGCTGTGGACTCACCCTGTTATAAGGTCTTGTCTGCCCTAAGTTCGAGCCTGTAGAGAACAGCGTGTTCATTTCTCTCCATAGTTGATATCTGTTTGGCTATTATTTTTGCTGGCCAAAAGCCATCTTCCCCAATAGCTCCTGGAACCCAGCAGTGTTTCTGTTTGTGAGGCAGATGAAAGAGAAGGCTTTGCTTTGTGGGCAGCGTCTCCTAATAAAACACTGTGCAAGACTGCTTAAAGCAGAGCAAAAATACAGCTGCTTCCTATTAATCTGTATTTCCTTTATTTCTCCTGCTAGGTGTTGAGCTGTCCTGCATCATTAAATCCACCGTAACGCGAGATCCCAGAATCGAGTGGAAGAAAATCCGAGATGGCGAAACCTCTTACGTATTTTTTGACAATAAAATGCAGGGTATGAAGATTCCTTGTTCTTAGACTTCCAAAACAGCCTCAGAAACAATACAACTGAGAACAAACAAGTCTGTAAAAGGCAAGACCTCTGGCTGTCTTGCTGCGTTCTTCTGGAACTAGAGTTCAGCAGTCAAAGTGCAAGATGGAGAGAGCAGGATGTTCTTTGCTCTCTGCCCTCATTATTGACAGTTCACAGTAGGGAGCCACAAAGAGCTGCAGTGAGTTCCTATGTAGGAGATACTTCTTGGGTAAGAAAGCAAATGCTGCAGCTTTCCTTCTCCAGCACCTGTTGGTTCTTGCATGGTCACTGGGTGTCTCTCTCCTGTCTTTCCATATGACATCTGAGGGCTCCACCTGCACTCCAGAAGGGATGTCTGTCTTGAGCTGTCAGTATTTACTGCTGAGGTAGCAGGGTGATCTGCAGCATCCTGGGAGCACATGATTAGAAGCAGACTCTTGGGCTTGATGGTGAATCTCAAACACAGGACTGTCAGTAAAGCTTGACTCCATCTGGAATTACTCCAACAGTTTAGATGGGAGCAACAGCCACAACCAAATGAATTTTCCAAAGCAGATGACCTGAGGCTGTCTTGGAAGTTCCATTTTGCCACAATTTTTAAGATTTGGGGTGGTGCTTTCCACCTGACATGGTTAGCAGCATTGGTTTCCTTTGTGGTCACTGGCAAAAGGCAGGCTCTTAACTTTAGAGCATCATGTTCTTTTTAGGTGGCTCTCTTGACTCCAGAAAGAGTCCAAGATCAATCACTTAATTCAGAAGCTTAAAGTTAGTCTGTGTGACTACCCTGACATTTTTCTCTCTCTTTTCTCTGTATCAGGAGACTTTGTGACTCGTGCAGAAATTCTGGGCCAGACATCACTGGTGATTAAAAACACCACCCGGATGGACACTGCCACATACCGCTGTGAAGTGGCAGCACCTTCTGATACTAAAACCATAGATGAGATTAATATCCAGCTCACAGTCCAAGGTACTATTTTAAACCTAGATACCTGTCCAAGCACTGCCAGCTAACAGAAGAGTTGTGAGTCTCTCTGGTGTTGAAACAGTGGCACTCCACAGACTCTGAAAGTTGTTTAAAACCATCTGGAAATAGAAAGTTTTGATACCTTTATGGCACAGCCATCTTAGAAAGTACGTCAAAAAATATTCAGTTCTACTCAGCAGTGCCATTCACATGGTTTGTGTCTTTCCTGCAGTGAAACCTATGACTCCTAGATGCACTGTGCCTAAAGCTGTACCTGTTGGCAAGACAGCCTCTCTTCACTGCCACGAGAATGAAGGTTACCCCAAGTCCACGTACAGCTGGTACCGCAACAGTGAACCTTTATCACCAGACACAAAATCAAATGCCAGATTCCAGAATTCCTCCTACACCTTGAACCCCACCACAGGCACTCTGGTAATGCCCTTACAGACATAATGAAGACTTGTTTCAGTGGCCAGGTTATTTTTAAGGTTGCTTATAAAAGAAAAATGTCATAGGATGGCTTTCAAGGAAGGCATAATTTGAAGAAATTTAGATGTTCTAGGATCTGGGGGACTTGGGAAAGGGAAGATTAATGATGGAAGAAGATATTATTACCTTAGCTGTTCAATCACTGATGATACTACTTGCCTTTTTAGAAAGAGGGAAGGAAGATGTCTCACAGCTCCCTGTGGGCAATAGCGAGTTGCTTATACCCTCACAGTACCTTCTGTGTCTCATGTCCTGCTCCCTCCTTTTCTCACCAGGTTTTCCACGCTGTGCACAAAGGTGATACAGGCCGTTACTCCTGCATAGCAACAAATGATGCTGGCTTTGCCAAGTGTGAGGACCAGGAGATGGAAGTTTGTGAGTGGTTCTACGTACTTTTTGTCAATGCTGATTAATATATCACCATAAATAAATTGTCATTGCCATAGGGCAAGAAAGGGGACATCCCAGAGAATTAAGTCTTTCCTGCTTTTTCATAGCCCCAAACACAGGAAGAAAAAAAAATAATTAAAAAAAAAAAAATAAGGGAAACATTAAAACACTGTCCAGATTCATGAATGGTTTTAGTCTTGGAATCAGGAATTCACTAGTTGCCTAGGAATTATTGTGATTTGCTTCAAATATTTGAGAGATGTCATTTTAGTGCATGTTAAGCTAGAATATTGCTGCTGCCTTAAAGAAATAATGGATGATGGCTTCTCTCTTTGCCAGATGACCTCAATATTGGTGGGATAATTGGTGGAGTCCTTGTGGTCCTAGCAGTTTTGGTGCTCATCACTCTTGGTATCTGCTGTGCCTACAGAAGGGGTTATTTTGCAAACAGTAAAGAGAGTGGGGAAAGGTAAGCTGTGACTCAGACTGTTCTTATACCAGTCCCTGCACCCACAGCTAGCATGAAGTAGCCTGAAGGGCTAAACTGGTGGCAAAAATGTACTTCAGTGCCTAACTTGGACATATTTCTACTTAGTTCCCCACCAAAGACTACAGGCCAGCCCAGTTCCTCAAGTATCTGATTCCCCACTGTAAACCCTGCACCACACCAAGGGTTTATTTGCCTAAGGGAGAATTTTGGTCTGGCTCCTCTTGTCCTTGCTCCCAAGACCAGACAGAGGAGTGATGGCTGTGCTCTAATAGCCTCACACTTTGCATGGGAAAGGGGGACCAGCACAATTAAATGCCTACAGGTCTCTGTCCAATGGGTTTTGTGCTGTTGGCAGAATGAAGTCTACAATTTAATGAACAGACTCATTGCACAATTAGTTTAAAGCATCAGGATATGCATAGAAAATATATGCAGAAGAGTAGGCTCTCTGCAGGAAATCTCACTGGTTGTGAGAACCTAAACTTGGGATTAAACCCAACCATTTTAGAATGCACATTAAAACGTTAAAAACAACAGCATTAGCATCGGAAACAAGCCTTGATGTCCTTACAGAATCTGTAGAAGAGATAATATATGTAAAAACAAGATTCTCACCAGATAGATTTGTTCCATGTTAAAAGCTGCTTTTCAGCAGAAGTCCTGTCTTTTTTTTTTTTTGTTTGGCTTGTTTTTCAGAAAAAGCTCCAAATACCCTATTTAAATGCAGCTGAGAGCTGGCACACACTGGACTTGACAGTCGTGTATAAATTCTGAATTCCTATGGGATTGGAAACAAGTGGTGCTTCCTTATAACTAAGGACAATGCTGAAGGCATCTGGCAGTGAAGGTTTAAAATGAACTCTATAATTGCCACAGGAAACAATGCAGGAGGCACACAGAAAGGTAGTGCATAGGGACCAGAGCAGGAGAGCTCAGAACAGCATCAGTTAATCTCTTAGCTGGGTTAGTCTTGTGGAAGCATACAGCAATCATTTTACCCTGTGCTGAAGGGGAAGTTAGAAAAAATCCCAGTCATGACAAATGAGGGAGCAAGCGCAGATCTATTGTTTGAGCAGTGAGCTGGGTTTCTTTCTGCTTTCTCTTCTTTTCATTCGGCTGCTCTTCCTCATTTTTGTCTTTGTTAGCACCTCCCCTCCAAAATCCCACAGTCTTCTTGTCCCAGAAATGAGATCTTTTCCTTTATTTCAGCTACAAGACTCCAGCAAAACCCGATGGCGTTAACTATATCCGGACAGATGATGAGGTAACAAATGATTTGCATTTAACATCCCTGTTGAGGAGAGGAAGGGGGTGGGCAGAGGACTACTAGATTTTTTAGGGCTTACAGATTTTTCTTAGAGTGGGCACCACTTAGAAGCAAGGATGGAGAAAAGAGAGAAAACAGAAGGGTGAAGGCTGAGTCATTTCCTTAGAAACAATGAACAGTTCAAGTTGCCTGAAGTGACTGATGCCAAGAGCTATCAACTGCAGCTCTGCTCTCAGTTCTTGCAGCTTGACCCCCTTAGGATGAGATTCATTGGATTAAGTGGGCAGGCCATGATGCTTTTACAAGAGAATTTGCATTTTGGGATTTGAATAGATCACTAAGCTCAAGATCAGAAAAAAAAGCCTCTCCCTGTGAGCAGAGATACTGAAGAGGGAATGAGAAGGTCCCTTGCCATGGTGAGTGAGGACAGGAGGAGGAGGAACACCCGGCCACTGTGACTGGAGTCTCCCTCTCCTTACCAGCTGGAAGGGGGGGTGCTACCTAGACAGAATGCTAGCAGTTACACAGATGGGATCTACCTTTCATGGGCACGTTGCAGTTGGGGGCAGCAGGAAGAGAGAGGTGCCTGGGAAGCCACTAGATCCTTCCTACATCCAGAACTGTTTTGTTGCAGGGTGACTTCAGACACAAGTCTTCATTCGTCATATAAGACGCCAAAAGAATATTGCAAACCAGCAAAAGCAAGTGTGAAAATACCTCCTCCAGGAACTCAAAGCAAGAGCAAACCATGAATTAAGTGCGCTTGGAAGAGTTTGGAACACACAAGAACTTGATAGCTAGCTATCTGTATATCTTTTTTTTCTTTGCCAAAGTTTAAAGTAACTCCTCACTGCCCAACTTGTGTCTCCCCTGCCTCCGGAGATACCAACGGGATCACCTAAACCTGTCCTTGGACTAAGGAAGCATTTTAATACTTCTCAAGAGACTGGGCTGTGGAAGTTTGTGGAATTGCCTTCTATTTGTGCTGCAGGGACACAGCCACAATGTGCAAACCAAGCAGGGGAACAGCGTTAGGTACACGTGTAGTAGACATTACTAGTACAAATGACTAGTAGACAAAAAAAAAGGTGCTGATATGGCAATAGATGGACTTCAAAGAATAAGAATTTATCCATGCAAGGGGGGGAGTTTTCCTCCCAGCAGCTGGTTGCCCAGGCCTGGCTGGTGACTTCTACACATTTGTGATTGTCTTGCGCTTTTGACTCTTTGCCTGCTCAGGTGCAGAACGGGGAATCTGAATAGCCTACAGTGACAGATACCGACAGACTAAATGCAACTCATGTTCTCAGCCCTTTTGTAAACTCACCGAGTTCTCGTTGCTCCCTTTAACATGAAACACGGGCAGCGTCAGGCCAGAAGGATTGCTTCTGTTCACTGCTTCATAGAAAACTCACTGCACGCAGGTAACCCCTCATTCTAATCTGTGCAAAGCAGGCTTGCCTCTTGCGTCTTTTGGTGTTTTAAAGAGGCTTACAGAGGAGGCAGAGAACCTAGTGCTGAGACATCCCTTTCAGGAAAATTAAAGCCAAATATTTTCCTGGGCTAAGATTGCCATAAAAAGGTACTGAGATATCTTGAAGCTTTTCTACCTTCGCCCTTTATTTTGTAAAATCCCACATTCTAAATTTTTTGCAAAGATATATTTTGATTACTTCAGAAAAAAGGTAACATTTCTATTTAAAGTGTAAATACATGATGCCAGCAGTGTTTAAGTAACGTAGCTATTTTTTTTACTTTCTAAGCTACAGAGAGGAGCTCAAATGTTGCTATAGTACGGCACTGTCAGAGCATATCAGTATTACTGCAAAGCATAATAAAAACCTGCAGGTAGAACAGCATCTCTCCTCTTAAGCTAGCTTCAGCAATTTCCTTGTCACAAGAGGTCTTACCAGACACAGAACAGAGTCACTCAGGGATAGTTTTTGTAAATTTATGGCAGGAGTTATCAACTTTTTTATATCTAAAAACTTACTTTTCTTGCCAGTGACCAACACTTTTTGTTTTTGTTGTTGCAAGAAAATACCCAGGGATGGCTTTTAGATTCAGTTCCAACAAGGTGACAGAGTGACTTCAATGTTTGCTACCCCTCTGCCAGTTCCCTAAGGCACTAACACGGTGTGACAACTATGGGCAACTTTACAGGTTTACACTGCACAGCCAAGGCAACTGTTTCTGGAGATAGGAAAGCAAAAGCTCAATACAAAAGCACTTTTGTAGTGTCAGTTGCAACTTTTTTCTAGATGGTAAAATTAAAAAAAAAAAATAAAATTAAAAAAAAGAAAACAAATCTATTCTCTTGGCTTTAGAGAGAATAATTGGAAACACGTGTTTCCCAGAAACACCCATGTTGATAGTGTTGAACAGCACTGGGTAATGTAAGACTGCAAGATGTGGATGCAACACTAGAACTGTGCTGTGGTTCAAGCATTTTTTTTTTTAATGTAGCATAATTTAGTGTTCTTGTATTTCCAATATGAATTGAATTGTCTTAACTTTTCCTGTATACAGTATTTTGGATACTTGAGGATTTGGACTGTCAGTGTTATTTTTTTTTTAGTGTTCTGCATTAATCTACTTTGTTTCCTAGGGGCCTCGCTGGACATGCCATTGCTGCATTTGTTTTACCTAAACAAATGATTATCACTTCTCCTTTTGATCATGGTAGTAAAAATAAGGATGGGGCAGCAATAACCATATGTTCTCCAGGTAACTTGGACATTACCACTGCTATCTTGCAACTACATTATGGTTACCTTCTCAAGACATGCTCTTCAACCCAGTACTGTTCACTGGCTGCACGCTGCCTCTAATCATTATGCCAGTAGTGAGTGTAACATTCCTTTGCACCTTCTGTATATCCACTACTCCTTTTCTATGCTGCTTTTAGGATATCTATAGTAAGGGAGAGAAAGATAAGGTTTGAATCAGGGTCGCTCTGGGCACTATGGGAGCACAATCTACAGTCTCATCATGAGCCAAAGGCAGCCTTCATGTGAAAAGCCAGCAAGCTAAGAATCAAGACTTATTTTTCAGTTCTAAAATGTGACAGTGGCATCTCTAACGAGAGAAGGGGAGATGATCCCCTGATACAGCTCATGAGATCTGATTGATGGAATTTATTGTATCATTGTGAATAATATTCAGGTTTGTACTAATGTATTACGTTTAACTTTGCCAAGAATGTTTTACATAAATACCAAGCTATAAAGCATTCTTGTGGGGTTTTTTCTTTCACTTTTTGTTTTTTAAACAGCCATATTATTGGAGCCTTCTGTTTTCAGTTCAGTGAAATAAGTGAAAGTCTCTTTTGTCAGAGCACTCATTTACTTGTATTGGGCTGAAGGTTACAGAAAGTCCAAGGTATACTGCAGTTTATCAGTTTATTCTTGGACATTCATCTATCCCTGGTTCTTCTCTAGACAAGAGACATATTAATGCTCACAGGGCTCATCTCAGTGCTGCTCGAGGACAGAACAAAAACTAGAAAAGCACAAATTTGGAAATAAACTATTCTAATTTACCATTCAAAGTGGTTAAATAATGTTTGAAGGTAGGAGAGAAAGTACAAAATAAATGGATGCAGCCATAATTGACCATTACTTAAGCCAAAGCAATTCCATACGTCCCCTGTTCCCAGGTTTTGACTTTGATTTTGAGAATAAAGTTTAACCTCACTTAGGGAAAGTGAGGGCAGATGATGGGATTCCAGTGCAGGAGGTAAGTGCCTCTGGAAGGGCTGTGGCAAAAGCACGCTCAGCCTCTTTGTTTTCACTTGTGCACAAAAGCCTACTCTGTTTCTGTTGTTCATGCCTGAATAAGACAAACCAGGATGAATAAAACAGATTCATTTTTACAAGTTTCAAGGAAATACAGGGCAAGAGCTCTGTAATATAAGTTAACAACAGAAAAAACTCAATTAGGTTCACGTGGCATCAGAAACACTCAGGAATGGTCAGATTCCAGCATTTACATGGCACATTTATGATAAACAAGTTATCTGTGCAGAGCACAAAGTGATGCATATGACTTACCAACCTTGATTTTAGTGAGTTACTCATATCCTGCTTGCAGTCAAATAAGAGTCTAAATTTAAAAGCTGCTGGGTCCAACATTAATTGAAGTGAGTGCCTAAGATACCAGCGACGTAGTAGAAGAGACTTAGAGGCTGTAGAAATCTATAGAAAAAAATAATTTCTCTGTCAGATCAAGAAGAAGGGAGAAGCTGTGGGTGGAATTAATTCTATAACCATTTATTTTCATAAAATGTTAATAGTTGGAAATAACATAGTTCAAGAATAGAAATATTCTATATAAAAGACCATTACAGCTGTTCATACACACAGGAGTTTGCACAACAAATAAGAGGTGATGTAGTGTGCAATTACCAGATTTAGGGGTGTGGCAGTGACAAGCTGTTTCACCTTTGTTCAAATTAAAGCAACTATAGTATATAACCAAGAGGGACAATGAGGGATTGAGGGAATAAGCTGAGCCACTCACTTCCCTGCAAGCTTTAATAAATGCATTTATTGCTAAGCTTGTGGCAACATTATGCTCTTACTTTTCCAAATGGACAAATTATACATCCTGTGAGTGAAGAGCAAGCCTCCCTTTATACTGCAGCCTTCTAGCACTCCAGTGAGCTTTGTGAACAGCAGCAGCTTAGAATACATACGTGTGTTAATGCAGGCTTTGTATGCCCACATCCTAGACAGTTTCATGTAAAAAACCAAGTAAGAATAGATAAGGAACGTGTGTGCACAATGATTTATAATTACAGAGGAAAAGGACTGATTTCAGGCAGTGTGATGATACTGTACAAAAGGATCAGTTGTCTGGTTTCAGTGGAGTTCTCCGCTGGGACCGTCTCAGAGGGACACGCTGGCTGCTATTTTTCCTTATTGGGGATTCTATTTTCCACTCCCGTGGCAGGGACGGGCTAGAAGAAGGAAGCAGAATGACTATTTATTTTAAAACACTTCTACCAGTCTTTCTGACTGCGATTGCTGTTTCAGAGCTGTGTTGCACTTACGGTTTCTCTGGTGATGTCAAACAGATAATATCTCTTGGCTTGTCCTCAGCCTCTTTCTTCCCTGCAAATAATGCATAGATTTTCATATCTTAAAAAATGCCACAGATTTGATCATTTGAGGGTTCCCCCCCGCCCCCCTCAAATTAGAATCACAAAGATAACTTGCCTGGAGCTGAACTGGGTGTGCGTGTTGAGCTGATGTAACTGACCCCAGCACCAAAAGTCAAGTCATTAATAGAGCCTGAAAGAAAAAACACATACTAGGAGTCAGCTTGTGACACAGCCAGAGGGCAAGGCTTGCTCTAGCAGAACACTAAGTGTCACAGCATAAGTATATCCAGTTAATTGCAAGCACATATACATCTCTCTCTTCCGTCACAGCGTATCTCAGTGTCTCCCATCCAGCCTCAAAACTATGTGCTGAATCTGATGGGCCATCTGTGCACATCAGCTTCATACTCCAGACTTACAGCCTTCCTTTAATGTAGAGGAAATTAATTTAAATATGGGACCTCTCCTCTACACAGAAGAGCCACACCTTCCACTGAAGCTTTGCCATCTTTCACAACAACACGTCAGACTCAGACCAGTTGCTTTGCCCAGTCAAGGCAGAATATGGGGCCCCTGAAGACTGACAAAAAACCTGAACAGCCGTTCCATGAGGAACTGCCTGCAGCCAGACAAGAGGAATCACTTGACAAGGAAGCTAGGTAGAATTTAACTTGCCTGAATAGGCCATAGTTGTCAGCTGTCTCTTTGCTGTCATTTATCTCAGGAGAGATGTCACAATATTCAGATTTTACTTTACTCAACGCTCTGTTTTATGCTCAATGTTTCCCAGAACCTTTCACAAGGAATTAAGGTAGCAAGTACTTTATAGGGCAGGAGTTGGCGACTCTGCTAAAAGGACTTCTCTCTACAGACTAACTGGGTTTGCTCTTTAATTACTTCCCTGTCTGGGAAGGGAATTCCTGAAGCTTGTAGTGCTAATCCAACTTGAGCTATCTGCCTTAACTGGCCTCTGCCTCTTTCAAGACTGACTTGCAAGTGTCCTGACTTTGTGCAGTGTGTGCCTGTCCTGGCTTTGGTTACAAACCCAACAGAGTGCCTTAACAAGTTACAAGGTTAATGAGAAGTTT